CGTATTAACAGGAGAAGAGGAGCAAGTGAAATTAGTGACTGCCATCGGACAACATGCGGTAATTTATAAATGTTTTAAATCAGGTTGGGTCCAGATTATTGTCATCATCATCATCATCATCATCATCATCATCATCATCATCACCATCATCACAACTATCATCATCGTCATCATCTTCATCATTATCATCGTAATCATCTTTATCATGTCATCCTCATCATCCTCATCCTCATCATCCTCATCATCATCACCGTCATCCTCATCATCATCATCATCATCACCATCATCACCATCATCATCACCATCATCATCATCATACTCATCATCACCATCATCATCATCACCGTCATCCTCATCATCATCATCATCACCATCATCATCATCATCATCATCATCACCACCATCATCATCATCACCATCATCCTCATCATCATCCTCATCATCATCATCATCACCACCATCATCATCAACATCATCATCACCATCATCACCATCATCATCACCACCATCATCATCATCATCATCATCATCATCGTCGTCATCATCATCCTCATCGCTCCCTTTAATTGGCTAAGGTAGACCTGTGACTAAATCTGCTCTGTCTGGTTGGTTTCTACCAGGTTTGAACCTCAGAGTGCGTTTGGGTTTAATTAATACCATTGATTCCCCCCCACAGAGAAGCCGTTTCTATAGCCGTATCTGTTCAATGGGAAACTCTCTAGTTCATTTAGGTCTATCTGATGTTTTTTAGAGCCAGAAGCTACTGGACCTTTGTTGACCGGTTCTGACTGGTTTTATGGTTGTTTGATCACCTTGTGAGAAGCACAGAAGATGCACTCCTTCAGGGGAGTCCTTCATGATGTCCTCGATGGCCTTCCTGAACTCCTGGATCTGCTCCCACAGCGGCTTCAGGCTCTCCATGCAGTTATACAGACTGATGATGGACACCTGGGTACCTGGATGCACCTGGATGCAAATCAGATCAGAGGAATGAAGATCTGCTCCAGGAAGCTCTTTAGCTGAAGGTTAATGATGCAGCATCAGGTGTTCCCAGCTGCTCTACCAGATTAAAAACATTTAAAGAATTGAAAACCTCAGGGGAACAGAAAGCAGGGCCTTCCAGTCCCTGGCAGGTTTTCACTTCATCTGAAGGAGGAACCTGTTCTGGAAACGCTTCTGCTTTCAGTTCATGAAGTTTGCAGACTCCTCCAGACTGCATCTGGCTTCCCTGCATTTCCTCTGGATTTCAGGGAATCAAAAAGCCTGAAAGTTCCTGAACTTTCTGAACCTCTGGGAAGAACAAAGGTTTGTGGTTCTTCATGGTTCTCCTGGTTTTTCATCCTGGGTTCTGATGTGAAGTTTGCTCGCCATGCGACTTCGCCGCCAAACAGAACCAGCCGGCTCCTGGATGCTGGGAGATATCCAAGTCATCGGTTAAGGTGTGGCTGATGACCCAGCAGGAAAAACGGCTCCAACCGTCTGAAGGAGTTTCTGGATCATTTCATGATTATTTGATCACAGCTTGTTTTATTTTAACCTGCATGTTAGTCTGATGCACAGCGAGTTCACTATC